ACTTGCTCAGGCAATACACTACAGTATAGTATATTATAGTATAGATAAAAAAAATATATAATAATTATATATATATAAATTATACAAATTATAACATAGGTAGGTTCTTTAATTCATAAAAAAAAATTAATACATGTACATGTTAACAAAACTCAACTTTTCTAACCTTTAAGTTTGCAAAATTTTCTATTATTTTGTTTATATTTAACTGTTTAGTTTTATTTTTTTCAATGTTCAAAATGGTAATGTTTGATAGTCGATCTTGATTCATTGAATTTCTTAAGCAATTTTTAATAAGTTTCAGTTTAGAAAACGATATTTCCGCTGATGCAACTGTTACATGTGATGTGAGATAAATTAAGGTTGCACTTAAAATATCACTATATGTTGTACTATAGTCATTTTTTAAAAGATATAATGTCAATTGTTCGATAATTTTAACTTCAAAAATATTAATTAATTCTCTTATTGGCAGTAACTGCCGTGTTAAATCTGAGCTTATATCATCTTTGTATAATTGTGTAAAATCATACGAAGCTTTTATTAAGTCATCTTCAGATAAATTAACTAATGTACTTGGTTGTAAAAATCAAAGTTTTCAGTTATTTCTTTTAATCCGTGAAATCTGTTGGAAAGCTGAAAAATAACTGTATCGATAAATAATTACTGATAAGAAAACTTGAACTTTAAAATTATCTTCCGTAACATTTAATATCACCGTCAACTTCTTCAAAATGTTTAATAGCGAATTTAGAACGAACTTCATGGTAATCTTTTGATATTCGGATATTCCCCATTTATCACACATATTATGACTTGTTAATATTAAATCATCATACTGATTTCTTAAATTTTGAATAATACAATTAGCCTCTTGTAATTTTTGACAAGCATTATGTAAATTAGTATTTTTACGTTGAAGAGACTGTGGTACTCCATATAATGGTCTTAATATTTATGTTATAATAAAATAAATACCAAAAACACAGGCATCAAATGGTGCCCCCTAAAATGTCAGCTGCCCTGGTGTCCTGGTGTAAGTACCATCCAACACCGGCAACACCCCCGCTTGTTGCGCCACTGGGGAGGTGTAATATAAAATTGCCGACACCAAATACATATTTAGGTGCCAACTAGAAAAAAAATTAATAATCAGATCAATAATGACAAGTTCTAAAATAACATTTTGCTGTAAATCAAATACATATTTTTATGTTAGTTTAGTCTAAAATCCAATGTATTAGATATATCCGTATATTATTATCATCATTTTTATAATTATAGGATTTGATTTGGGATTTGTTAAAATTACAGTAAATGTATAAAGTAAATAATAACGACTAATAATTTCAATTTAATTCTAACAAGTTCGTATATCCTATAAATTCAGGGGCGTGTTCATGGGGGGGTCATGGGGTTCAAACCTCCCCCCCCCCATTGACCGTATTATTTTTATTTTTTATTATAAAACAAATAATGCATCTTTATAATGTACTTTTCGAATTATATTATCAAAAAATTTCCTGATTCGTATTTTATCGTTAAATGCTTACAACATCGAATATATACACTGCCCCACAGTTGCCGAAGAAACTTGTCTCAAAAGATTGAAATCTTATCTAAGAAACACAATGACTGAGGTATTTTCTGGATATTAAAATAAAAGTTAATATCAATTTTTTTTAAATTTTTTTGGTTTTAGACTCAACTTGGCTTAGCTATGTTAGCTGTTCATAAAGAAATTCCACTAAGAAGAAGAAGAAGTTTTAAATTAATTGAGCAAAACATCAAGAAAACTAGATTTGTTCTTTAATTTTTGAATGTATATTTTATATTAGTATAATAGTTCCTATATTAGCAATATAATATTTAAATCTATAAATTGAATTTATTTGTTGATTAAAAAAAAAAAAAATGGTCGTTACATAAAAAACTAGCTTATTCAATTTTACTTGAACCCCCCCCCCCCCACATAAATTTTCTGAGTATAGATTATCATAATAATAAAAAGGTGAGCAAGTACCTATATTACAATATATAAATATACTTAAAAGTAATTTTTTTTTACTATTAGTAAGACAGTACCTAAATTGAATTCATTTTTACCAAAAACATTAAGTTTGATATACCTACTTTAAAATGTTCAAGTAGGTATCCACATACAATTTTTAACTAGAAAACAGCCCACCTAAAAAAACTATTGATTTAAAATACACCTATGGGCTAAGAGCGACTTATATCTAAACCAATGAGGAATATTTTTAGAGGGGCTAAATAGTAATCAGAGGAGGGGCTAAGCCCCACTAGTGGGGGCACTGGTGAAAGGTATTATACACTACCTATGTTACTTTACTGTCCTATCTTCTGATAAACTGCAATTGAAATTTTAATAAGTATTGTATATTTGTATAGTATATTAGTATGTAAGTAATAGGTATAGTAGGTAATGAATAAAATTTTTAAGTGCGGCACTAAAAGTAAACTATTCAACATATTTGGCCCAGTTAATATATCTTGAATTTGAAATGCCTGATGTAGATGCTTGATGTCTCTGTGACACATCACACTGCAAACGTTCGATGCTAAATTCTATATCACGCTCTTGAGATGCGAATTCTACAATTTATATACCGGCTGTCCTCAATACTGGGATGCCTTTTGGAAATTTGCGACTTTCTCTTAGGTACAGTGATGAATTATTTTATTTTTAACGTTACAATTGACCAATCCCTGAAAAATATTAGAGCATTAATTATGCTTTATATATATATTTTTAATAAATACATATTTCCATTTATTTATTTTATCAATAGCCGTTAGCAAGGGCTTTGAACGCATGTCATTTAAAATTATATACCTACACTTACATTACTTTGCTACTCAGGGATAGTGTTGCTAACTACTAGGTAGTAAAATAATTTTTAGATTAAGTAATTACAGAGATCACATCTTACATACAAATACATTTTATCTCTTTATAACATTACAAAACCCTTATAGTACCTATATAATATTATACTTGTATGATGCATATTATAATATTATAATTTATATAGATTTCAATGTTTAACCAATGACTATAACAATATCATACCACGAATCTGAGGTACCAGGTGTCAATATACATTTTACCTATACTTACAATCTTCAGAAAACTAAAAATATTATAAAGTATTTACCTAATTATACCTATATGGCTATATTATGCTAAGATTCAGTAATACACAGTGGTCGAAGTGGCTCAAAATACGTGGAGGGGTGCCTTTCATATTTTATACAGTTTTCATATATGAAATTAATTAATTTTAAGGGGGATACATTATTTTCGATGAAAAAAGTGGAGGGACGGAAAATGTAAATAATGCATGGATCAATCAATAAGGTTTAAAATAAATAATAACAATATTAAATATTACTTTTGCCTATATAATCAAAGGCGATTAAATAAATTTATTTTTATTAAATATATATATTTATAATTTTTTAAAAATATTTATATAATATATGAATGTACATTATGAATCAAAAATATATGATTAACACACATAATGTAATAAGTATTACGAGTTTGATATAATTCCACAAATCACAAATAAAAAAAATAAAATAGAATACAATTAAAATTGATCTTACAAATAAAACATTCAATAACTAATGATTTCATATAATATATAATATAATATTGTTTACAATTAATTCTTAAAAATATTGTGGGAAGTTTAGTATAATGTATAATATGTATATAAATATATGATTTTTCAATTTTTTTTTTTTTTTTTAACACTTTTGTAATTAGTTAAGTACTAAGGTGAGCACAGGTGAGTGAGCGATAGGATGTTGCTTATATTCTAAATACAATTTAATTAAAAGAAGATACAAAATCAAATAATTGAAAGCGTAATTAAATCAATAAAATATTAGTAATAAATATTGAGAGCAGAAATCATACTTTACTGCATACAACTATGAACTAATACAATCATGGCCCTAGATTTGATGGATAAAATCATGTAATCTAAATTCATTAATATTTGCATCCTAACAAAAAGCACAAAAATACAAAATGTTGTAATACCAAATCATGTAAAATAACATATTTGTTCATAATAACTTTTGTCTAAAATATTTAATTCCAGCATATTCATTTAAAGTTGCACACAATACTTAAGTTTATAATAAATTGACAAAACTTTAAACGCAAAAAAAATTATATATATATACTAAAGTAATATAATATTTATTTATTTTAATATAATGCACTAATAATAAAAAAATTATTTGAATAGATTAAGAGCGAATGTTTTTTTTTTTTTTTGACAAAATTAACTACGGTGATGGCAACACGGAGAATATATTACACAATTTGCTACGTTTGTGTTGCCATCAGTCACGTAAGTAGCCTAGAGATCTCAAATATTGTTTATTTAAGTAGTACTGAGTAAAGGAGGAATGAAAGGCAAAATAAAACTTTTCTTTGCAAATTAAATTACCTAAGTAAGTCTTTGTTTTTTTTTTTTTTTTTAATTTAATTTAAGCCTTAAACATAAGCTAAGTCTATGATGTTAATAATACTTGAACGTGTAAGTACATAAAAAAACAGTCTTATTATAATATAAGTATCGGACTTAATGCGCCCACAGTTAAATGAAAAATTAAAAATTAAAATCAACATAATAGTAATAATAATTAGAAATGTAAGAAAAAGTAAAATGTAAGTAAACGCAATATTAATGATAATTTAAATATAATTCACAAAACATTAGCTAGGTGAACAAAAAAAAAAAATTAGCTAACACATTTGAAAAATTTGTTATTTCATGGGTTTAGGTCAACGCAGTACGAGTATAGAAAATGAATGGAGCTTACATTTTGTTTTAACAGAGTATAACTGTTTAAAAATAGTAAAATAAGAAAAATAAAAATCTAAAATCGCTATTTATTATCGTTGTTTAAGGCGAAACGCGGCCCTCGGAGAATACAACTACTTCAGAACACCAATGTCATGTAGTGGGTAGCATATTTGTTATCATTGTCCATAGTTCTTTTTTACATGCTTTGGATCTGAATAACAAATACATAATTATTAATTAGATGAGAAAATATATTGTTTAAATACTAAATCAATTTAAATCATGCTCACTTTCTACCAGACTGCAACCAGTCCTTGAACATGGTACCGCCTTCCGGTGTCATGGCAAATGCACCGTAAGCAGAATAGAGTCTTCCGACATACTCTTCGTAGTCTGTTGCTGACAATTGATATGACTTTTGATGCAACAGTTGAATAATATACCTGTGTATAAATAACCAATAGTGAATAGTTATTAACCGATCAGTTCAAAACCACATAACTGTGCACGAATGCACGATACATAATAATGTAATAATAACACATACATTGAATGACACTTTTCAACCAAGGGACTCAAGGTGGAGCATATGGTAGGAGTGGGACTAAAATGTCCCATGTACATAACAGCCTCCATTGCAACATAGGGTAGTGTGAAAGGATTCACTACACTGTTGGTGACAGCCAAAAAAAAACTGTTGAGTGTAATTAGGTCCTAAGAAAATAATGAAATATTATAAAAATGTTATTTAACAAATATTGAAATATATATATACAATAGTACTAGCTGATCCCGTGCACTTCGCTTCCCGTTAAACGTACCAACTCTATACGACTCAAACATTGTTCAATTTGTTATTTAATATTCGGTGAATGGTGTTCAATATTCATCTTAACTTTTCTGTTGCTTGGAACAAAAATTCTGATTCGCAGCAGTACAATATTATATTATTATCAGGTAGGCAATCTACCTGCGGTAGATCGTGGACCTCGTGCTGTTTGTACTTTCTACTTAACTTTATAATCTAACTCCAAAGTATCAAAGTTATACCAAGTATGTCACTGAACTCCTCCTAAATGGCTGGACTAATTGTGAATGCCGAGTCCGAGTATAAATCTGACCAATATTTCCCCCTCGTCCACGAAGACGTGACATTGTTTTATGAACGTAACTTATATGTGATATAATATTTAAGTTCTTGCAATACAAATAATATCAAAACAGAGCGTACAAAAAAATTAAATGCATTGAATGAATACACTGATTTCACAGCAACCAATGATTATTGTTATAATAGATTTAAAACCCATGGAGACCATTTATAAACAAAAATTTTCACCGTAAATATCTAAATCCCCGTTTGAGCACATCCCCTGGTTGGATCTAGGGGGATGATTTGTAGCCTATGTGTTATTCTGATGTATAAGCTATATTATTGTAAAGTTTCATTAAAATCCATTCAGTAGTTTTTACGTGAAAGAGTAACTATGTCACAAACTTTCGCGTTTATAATATTAATAGGATAGGATTATAATATTATTATCTATATTATTATTATATGTATATTAATATTACCTAATGTTATTGTTTTTTTAATTTATTATAATAATAATTATTATTATTATATTATAACGTAATTTTTCATTGTAATTAGCTGACCCCTGAATAATTTTAAACTATTTCCCCTTTAATATTAACCGTTTTATAAAATGCTATTACTATTTTATTATTCAAAAAAATATGTGCTGGTATTAGTATTATTAATATATATTTTTCATATTGACATGTTTTATTATTATGAACTATTATTATATAATATATTGTATATTTAAATTGTAATATTGTGTGCCCGAAATGTCAAAAAGAAAATCACCAAATTTTAAAATAATATTATTTATTTGAAATACTATGTAAACATATAAAATACATTCACTTGATTAGCTTAAACTACAATAGTTTTGTTTAATATTTATTATTCACAGTGTCACCTTCTACAATATTTATATATTTTATTGCAATGTAACAAAATCCTGTTCTTCCAGTGGAAAAGTAAGTTATTTAGTCATTTTATTCGGACATACCCCTCCAAGAGACGGGATGCAATTCGGACAGACCCCTCCAAGAGACGGCATGCAATTTGGACATTCCAATTTATATTTATTTTTTTGGCATGCAATTCGGATGCACTTCAAAAACCGATATCGATTTTTTTGAAAACAGATTTTGCGTAAAAATTCCCGTTTTTCCTTAATTTTTCTTTTGTTTTCACGGTGCTTTTAAAAACTACTGGAAAAATTTTACTTTTGACCCCCCCAAAGTACCAACTAGATTCACTTTCCTATCAGAAAAGATACTGTTGAAGAAAATCCAAGCACTTTTACTGTCCTAAGAGGTGATGACGTCACCACCTACATTTGGGAAGCAATTCGAGTGTCACCGTAAGTCCATATAAGTAACTAATTAAAAACTAATAAACACAATAACTATCAGTCACACGCCATACTGTTTAAATATTTAATTATTATGATATAATATTAAATATTGGTATGTATGCTACCTATAGGATATGACGTAACTGAGGAAAACCGAGAGAATACCTACTATTTTCAAATTTAAATAATTTGATTATTTATGTAGATTGGATCAGAATAATGAAGTATTATACAAAACTATTTATAATAGATAAGAAAGTATTTAAGAAAAAGTTAACAACTTGCTATCAGCGATGCAGTTAATTATAATTGGAAATTATACCATTTATACCTACAGTACCTACAGGTATCCTTTACAGTATAGTTTAGTATAATACATTCGTTTTCGATATCATTTTATACATAGGTACTGAACTCACAGTTTACTTATGGCTTTTAATTTAAAGAGGCAACTACGGAATGATAACCTTTTTCTCTAATGTACACTGCCAACGGAGTTAAATAATGGAATAACACATTACGTAATCATGGGTTAAAGTCTATCGAAAATACGATTAATGAAAAACATTATAGTGTTGTAATTATTACAAAATACAAGGGGCATTTAGGGCAACGATGTGTGTTCATAACCTGCAATAGGTGCACTTTATAATAATAATATGTACTAGGTAGGTCTTCATAATCCTATACAGTCAAAACTAAGGTACATATTGTTTTACCCATCGGGTGTAATACACTCGAATTATTTTTACGGAAACCGACGAAAATTTAATGGGGGAAAAATCGTGGTTGAATAGGTAGGTAGCAGAAAAAAGATAAATAATCTTCAATAATAAAGCATCAAAATGTAATTATTATAAAACACATAACAAAAAATATAAAATAAATACCATTACACTTTGTTCGCGTGGAATAAAATCAAAACAATAAAATATACACATTAAAAACAATATATTAATATCATGTGTGTTCTTAACCCAAACTAAAAAATACTGCAATTTTTTAAAAATATTTATTTGTTGTTTTTATGCACGAATTATGAATTTATTATAAGTAATATTATAATATTATTGTAAAACTTATAATTTATTGCATGATATTATACACTATAATATTTATGAATTGAAATAAAAAAAATCAGATAATATTTATGTCTAGTGACTAACTTTATAATATATTATATTAATTAATAATAAATGTACTGTTCAATAATATATTATTATCAATATCGTGCGTATATAGGAGTGTGAAACGCCGCGAGTTCTCGCCGTGTTGGTTGGAAGTTTCGATCGCGCCTAAATCAATCTAGCAAAATATAATCATTGAGTATAGATAGTATTGTCTATACTCAATGCTATAGTGAATAAATCATAACTGGAAGGAATCTCTGTACTCTGGCTTAAGCAAAAACCACCACATTTTCAGTTACCAAACGCTAACCGTCACGAAACGACGTGTACAATAATAATATAATGTTATACATACAATGTGGTACCTATATGTCCTAATCCTACAGTTATATTATATTATGGTTCACACGTCGCATATACCTACCTACCATTATAATATATAATATTATAATATAGTCATCATAATATGAAATAAAACCTTAAGAAAACAAATTACGCGATCGTTGACTTTTATGCGTTCACCGTTCTACATGAAGGGATCGGAAAATCTCCGGCGTTTAGAGATCATTAATGATTTTTACTATTTTTTTTTTTAATACTTTTACTATAATTATATATCTATCATTATATGCGCATGCACATGCATTATTATGATACACGCGCCTATGTGAATTATTATTTTAATATAATAATAATAATATGTACCCTTCGATCTTTAAACACATGCAGTAGGTACAACAAATCGAAAATAATAAGATAAAAAATGTAGGTATAAATACATTGACGTAGGTATATATATTATACGCGGGCAGCACAATATTTTACGTAAGACACGCGATGCAGGTAAAATTTGTTAAAAAAAAATTAAAACGCAGGAAAATTGGACGATTTCACGCGGCCGACGACAAGAGCGCGGCGGGTTCGGTCTTGTTGTTGCCGGCCGAGTCGTTGTGTGCTACTTTGGTATCGGACGGCGGCGGCGATTGGGCGCTCTGCACTTTGTCGGCGTTGCCGCGGCGGCGTCTCCTCCGGCGGCGGCGCATGCACAAGCACAGCGCCAGCAGTAAGGCCACGACGATAACGATACCAGAGGCGATGGCCCAGTAGGGCGTGTTTCGGTGTTCCCACTCGGCCATGCACTCCTTGAAAGCGGCCAGGGCCGGTTCCGGGGTCCGGGCGCAGGCCTCGTCCTTTGGGTCGTCATGGATGTCGGCCTCACCGTCTCCGGCCAGCGGGTCCGGGCATTGGCCCAAACCGAAAACGGTCACCTTGTACGTGTGGGCCCACTGGACGACGCGCCGGCACCTGCAGTGAGCGCCCGGCGTCCCGGGTCGGAACAGATTGGTAGCGCCCGTCACGTTGAGCCGGGCCAGGCGGCACGTGACTGCCAGCTGGGCCGGGTCCAGATCGGAGATCTCTACGTTTTCGGACACGTCCAGATTGACCAGGTTGGGCATGATGCCCAGTGCCGGGTAAGTTCTCAGGTCACAGCCCCTGAGCTGCAACACTCGCAGTCCGACGGCCGTCTCCAGCTGCCGCATGTCCGCCACCGGGTTTCCGTTCAGCTTTAGCTGGACCAGCGATTTGGGCAGTCCGGCCGGCACTTCCTTGATGGCGTTTTGTGACAGGTCCAGCGTCTCCAGCTCGGCAAGCGACCCTAACGCCCCGGGCTCGATGGTGTGTACCTTGTTGAACGACAACATCAGATTCTTGATGTTCGGGTACTCGGTGAAACTGTTGTTAAATAGCTTGCCGATGTAGTTGTGCTCTAAGTTTAACGTCTGTAATATACATTTAACAATTAATAACAATCATAAAAATGTGTTTTAAATATATTAATGACATTTTTAAGTTTTTTTTTTTGAGGCGGGGTTAATAAACACAGAAACGTTGAACGTTCAATGTTTAAAAAAAGAGAGGATAAGTTCAAATTCTAAGGGCTAAGATTTATAGGTAAATTAAAGAGGTGTATATTTCACTTTAAGGTAAATACGCTGCAAAGAAGGATCTTATGGTGGTGAAATAAATTAAATCAGCGGACAGAAATGCGTGACAATCGAGTTGAGGTTTTATAGAAAGCGATGAAGAGCAGAACTAAATGAAAAAAAAGGCAATATACATGCAATGTTAGAAGTTAACGAATCTTAAACGTCCATAAATAATTAAATAGGATTAGTATTCCAGACATATGTATGACGTATGGTATTCCTAAGTATAGATATAAATTATTTTATGAATATCTAAGCATATATAGCACAGTAATTTAGTACCATATAGTACGCTATGTCTGGTGCGTTCAGAATGCATACAGTAGATAGGAACATTGCACGCGGATATGGTGTTACGTTATTTTTTTTTTCAAAATATTTCATAAAATATTACACATAAGGTGCAAGTCTACGGGCAGTGACGTTTTGTACTCAATGAATCATCGGTGATTTCCTGCCGGACACTCCCAGAAGAAAAAAACAAATATAGATTTATGAATACCGACTAATTTTACGAACGCGTCTAATTATCTTCTTATTGTTTTGTAGGTCACGAGAAAAGTATACAATATAATATTATTATATTTTAAACCTTTTTGGCATGTGAATTTTTTTTTTACTTAAAATCACGGCAGGACGAGAGAGAGGTGCATGCAAGTATATTTTAATGTTCCTGAATCGATGAATATAATATATACGCATTAACGAAATTTACAATATGTATAATGGACAAAATGGCGTGTCCGATGTTATACACACACTTAAACACACAGACCATAAAAGCGTATGCGGTCCAAACTTTAAGTAATCAGTTTATCGTGAGAAAAAAACAACTAACTACCTATATTATTAATATTTATTACGACATCGACAGCGAAACGCTCTCTCCGGGTGATCTATTTACAGGATGACTTACAAGACCGCTATATCTTTTTTCTTATTTCCCTCGTTGGATCGATTTTCACGACGATTAAAGCATATGGGACTAAATAACCAATAACCGAAATATAACAGATCACCAAGTCTTACACCAAACGTCAATATAACGAATATAATTCAATTTTATAAGCTGAGAAGATCTCAACATAAAATCGACTCGAAATTCGTTATAATATATTATTATCACTGATAAGTTTATTTGATAATTTATCAGTCGCACTTAAATAAATTTATCAAAATATATACTACTATCTTGTATTATTCTGTGCTACTATTTTCCATGGAACGGGGACACATTCATTTGTAGTTTTAATTGTTTTATTTATTTATTTATATCTTGTTTTAACAAACCTCGACGTCCTTTAAAACGTCAGTACTTGGTACAGATAGCATTTCTTGATAGGCACAGTTGACCACCACGTACCTTTCCACGTCTTTTGAGTTGAGACATTTCGCCCCATCCGCGACAAAGGCAGTGGACATGCCAAAAACAATGATCGCTGAAACATAATAAATATCGTTATTGATTATAACATTTTGTACGTTGTGTAGAAAACAACACACGAACAAAAATACAAAATTAATTAAGTTCTTCGATAACGGCACAACACGTACGAGAAATTATTATTTCAAGATATCGTTGTTGCCATTTATCGCAAATATAAATAATTATACAGTGAATTGCTCACTGGTGGAACCAAATCTACAAATGATCACGTTTTTTCTCGTATTATGGTGAAATGGTGAATAGGTATTATTAATTTAAATATTATTATGTCTATTTAACACAAAATATAACAATACATTATTTAAAATTGGTAACACTGTCTGTTGGACGTTGATTTATTCATCAAAATGCGTATAATAGGTACATAAATACATAATTAATGATCAATCGTTTCATTAGTGAAACATAATTAGTAGTAAACATACCTATTATTATGGTTAGGTACATACTTTTCTTAAAATGATTTAGCTTTTAATCGTATTTATGTTCTCATGGATATACCATTCAATAGTCATAGATACAATATTGATATTTAGACATATTTTATTAATTAATTATTATAAAGTATAAACTCGTTCACTCAACTATATTATATTATTAACAATAAAATAGCCACCCCTAAAAATTGGAAATTTAAATGAAAATAATACAGTTCGAATGGTTATTGTATATCAATCCTAAACCATTTGATTAAATGATATCGAATTAATGTATTTATAGTATAATTATTCATATTATATAATAGGTAACCTACGTCTATTATAGTATAGGTATCATTATAATACAATTATTTGTATATTATATTCATTTGAACTCTAATAATGTACACGTTTCAATTTTTAGTAATATTTTACAGCCTGAAAATTCCAACATAGGCATACTTTAATATCCATTATTATATTATGATATATCAATATCAATATCCATTATCCATCAGTTTTACTCGGATAAACTATATGAAGATTAAAAATAATCATTTTAATCTTCGTTGGATAAACTCAAAGTACTATATTCGAATCCACCCAAAAACTTTTCGACCATATTTTAAGCAGACAATGTTGTGTAATCAACAACTTGATGAATCGTATTTAATTTAATTTTAAATTTGCAGAATTTATATAAAACGTATACCACCCTCGAAGCCAATACGATTGTATTTATTTGTAATACCTACAAGTCTTGGAATATGACTTAATATAATATATTTATTTTTTTTATCGGTTTAGGTGACTAACCAAAGTCACTATGGTTACTAGCATGAAACCATATAGCAAACATTGATGGTCATCATATTATTATGATGTCATCATAGGCTTATTTCCACGAGTTTACGTAACTATAAGTGCTATAGTAGGATATATTATAAGATATAATAATGCCGACGGTGGTAAAAAAAAAATGACTATTTAGTATTTACCAAATAACCATAAAAAGTTTAATATTATAGTTTAACACTCAACATATTAAAGACAAGTTTCAATACAAATTGAACATAGTATACACTATACATACATAGGTATAGGCAACGATTGCGGGATTCTGGCATATATGATATATAAGATAATACAATTATATAGGTATTATACTGTTATGCATTATTACTGTTATTGATACGAGGAGAATACATTTTCAATGACCCTGTGTACATATTATATTAATACGTATTTTATTAACCGCGTGTGCTTACAATTTACAACCTGTAATTTTAATTTTAATATATGTTATCTAAATGTATTAGATCCCCAAAGCCAAAGCTATTCATTTTCCCATCGTTATCCTTTACAACATGTACTCGATTTCCTGTCCGAATTTGTTTTGGATTGTGGTCACTCCACACCGACATCATCAATGCATATTATTGTTGTGCGCTGTATGCCTGGCAAGTTCCAAGGTAATTTTAATCATTTGTGGCTTTTTCTTCTGATAAATAATTTGTAGGTAGTGTAGAATATCGGTCGAATTGTGGCGTTTTCCATAACTAAATTAAATATCAGCGATTCGTAGGTATTTATCCAATTTTTATTTTTTGTATCCTACTCATATTGTTCTTCAACAGTAATACAGTAGGAGCTCCGGTTAGGTAGGCGTAACGACCTTAGTAAATATCCAATTATTGTAATTTTTCCAATGGCTTTTTTTATGCATTGTTTTTTAAAATGTATAATATTGTATTTAAAACTTTAAAATCATACTAGTATTACTGCTGTAATGATTAGGGACAGTTAAACTCATTTTTTTTTTTAATTACCTTTAGGTACGACAACGGTAAATTGTTTATTGACCTACCATAATAACGATTTATGCAGAGACAATAAACGCGTATTTTTAAATTTAATTGGTGTGAACTAACACGTCATTCCAGCTACCTATCTAAAAAGTAAAAACCAATTTATATTCAAAACCGAACTAGTGTGACACTCATTATACCACTGAACTAATAATTCAAAAATGACCTTCGATAATGATTTATTACCATGAGAATTCAACCATAGGTATACACGTGGTTTAACAAGCTCAGACTACACATGCAAATATATAAATTTATGCGATACAATTATTAACTAATAAGTATTATAGTTATAGTAGTAAACATATTATTAATTATTATTAAGTAAAATATAATTTCAGTTAGGTACCTACTTAGGTACCTAGTAGCGTATCTAGGAATTTTTCACGGAGGGAGTCCAGCTAATTTTCCAAACACATTTATGTAGGGTAGGGGCTCTGTTATATTATATTTAGATGTTTAGATAGGTATATATGAGGCCAATGGGGAGTCCGGACCCTATGACCCCCTCCTCTCCGTAAATATACGCCACTGTACCTACCCTATATAATCACTATATTAGTGAGGGAGTTCATAAAAAGGGAGAGGAACGTTAATTCGTATTTTTAATAGTAGGTATACCAATATAAATATTTACAAATATATTTCGATTATTACGTTAGTAATAATTTTTGTTATTAAAAGGGTAGAACAGTAACGAAAGTTCGATTGAAAATCATTATGTTCACCGTTCAAGCTATTCTATTATCAATATGATATCTGTAAAAACATAACTTTTCGCTAAGATTACCACGTGGGTTCAAGTGTAGAAATTGCATTTAAGACATATAGAAACAAAATTTTCGTCAAGCGTCAGGAAAGACTCTATATAGAATTAAAGTTTAATTTTTAAATGCAAACAATACTAAAATATAATTGTTTTTTAGATGAAATTATTACTTTAAAAAACACCACTATCCTGAAACTCTATGTGCATCCTGTCCGGATTTTTGATAGCCTTATTATTTTTGATAATAATTACACCACACTTTTCAAATCATAAAGATATATGGGTTTGAACAAAGTATAAGAGCGTCTAATAATAATTTAAATAACATTGAGAATAGCATATTATATCGATGGTAAATCGCATTAATAGTTGCATAACTATCGATATATAGATTACAATAAAAATAGGTATATATAAATTTATATCAGTAAATAATATACTTACAAGTATATATTATATATTATTTTTTTTATATAAATGTGTCATTGAATATTGGTCATTGGATTCGGATTTGTAATACAATAGTCCATCGTTGTATCAAATTGCATATTATTGAATTAAGTATCCTCTTCGCAAGGAAGGTAGGTTAGATATATCTGATGGTTTGTAAATCACAGTGTTTGAATACGATTTGAATAATCGAAACACATTTAATAATAATATTATGTCAGTTCATTATTATACAAAAAGACTATGCTATAACTTACTATAATATTATTATACTACCTATTATAGATAGTTTGGATGACCATTTTTCGAAACTAAAAATGTCATAAGTACAGATTTGTACATCCAATTATTGAATAAATAAATATAATAATAATAATAATATATTCGGACGCATGTACAAATTTCCCTCAAAATTACTTTTGTTTATGCCAATTTTCTCCAAACTCCTCTTGAAACTCAATTTATACCAGTATGTAAAATGTAAATATATAGGTACCTATACCTAATATAATATACAGTATTTCGATTAAAAAACCATAGCACACTACTCGATATTATTCCTCAACAAAGAAAATCATGAATCATAAAAATGTTGTGTAAATAAGTAACCATGACAACGAGAATCTTACAAAAAATAGGTCGGAAACAAAAAAAAAGTGTATCCAGTCAAAAAACATTTCATGTTTAAAAAAAAATTAGTAGGTATTTATCGTTTAAAGTGCATCTAAATTTATTGGTATTTACATATTTATATATTATACAATTATAATGGTACATATTATATTATATTATCAACTAAATATATTTTGTAAAAAAATTTTAAGAATTATTTATAATTGACCAGAAATAGGTATTATTTATACGATTTTTGATTTTTGATTTCCTATGTTGTTGGCTTGTCACAGCAACTAGTACGAATTACATCTATGGTTTGAAAACCTTTCAGAATATCGACAAGGACGAAAAGTTGGACAGTGAACGGTTTAATATAAAGACCTGTTGTGTGGCGAGCTCGAAACGTATATAACAATAAAATATAAACATAATTATACAGAAGGTGGGAGGGGGATGGAATTAGCACATTAGTATTTATGAATTAAGTGTGACATGATTATTGGTACTAAGCTATTGTCTATTATCTGCCGATATAATTAATGCAGCCGACAGTCATCGCCGAGATTGTAAGTTGAAACTTTTTTACACAATATTATACATAAGTGGACAAGTATAAACTACAGTGTGTCAGTGTTTGTTTATTTTGGTAGACACACGCACATATTATGTCACGTCGAGTCGATTGTAGAGACGTAGAGTCTTACCGGCTACTTTTGCGTAGGTACCACTAGTTGCGCGCGGGAAAGTCGTTACACATAATATTATATTATATTGTGTACTGATCATCATTATAATATGTCAATATATATTATAAGTATATACAATATACTTATAATATATAGCGATGCTCGATACAATAAAAAGAGATACT